GGNGGGGGGGGGAAAAGATGATAACCATGAACAAGGCGAACCGACCCTCTCTCTCTCTTTCTCTTTACTCGGCAAGCGCTAGCAGTGCCTGGTTGAGCGGCACGATCCTCAGGCTCCTAGCCCTCTTGAGGCCGGGGCTGGTGCTGCCGCCGGCGCCATTGGCCGTCAGGCCGCCGACGGGCGACGCGCCCCTGCTGATGGTGGCTCCGGCGTTCATGCGCGTGGGGCTGGCGGCGTCGCGCCACTTGCGGAAGACGCTCTTGAGGTCGCGCGGGATGCCCTCGAGCACGACCGTCGAGATGGGCACAAAGGGCCGGTCCTCCATGGACGATGCCAGGATGGCGTACTCCTGCGCAAAGTCGAGCGCGTTGCGGAACGAGGCGTACTGCGGCTGCGCGCCGTAGCCGACGACGATGTACATCTCGAAGAAGGCGTCCAGGATGTAGATGCCGGCCGGGTCTAGGTCGGCCTGGTTGAAGGGCCAGATTTCGGCAATCTTTTTTTGTTTGTTTGTTGTGTCTATGATTAGTTTATGAACAATGACTGGGACTTTGAACTGGCTGGCTGCGCTGGCTAAATCACACATAAAAACAACGAGGACCAAAACGACATCGTCATCAAAGAAAGGAGAGTGACAAAACTTCAGCTGCAGGGGCTTCAATCTCAGGCTCGCTTACCTGCTGCCTATCCTCAGCGTCCGACCTGAACAGCCTCGCGCTATACTTGGGGTAGTTGGGCTTGAGCCTCCAGTGGTCCGCCGACACGGCCCTGGCGGCGCCGTCGGCCGCGCCGCCGAACAGGGCCCAGAACTCGTCCGTCTCGGCGCCGTCGTCGACCTCGACGAGCTCGCCCATGAGCGCGAGCTCCATGCCGACCAGGCGCGCGCACCCCAGCTCCTCGACGTCGCTGCCCTTGCCCTTCCACATGTGGCACTGGCCGTTCTTGGTGACGAGGTAGACGAAGCCCGAGCACAGGCTGTGGGGGGACAGGTCCACCTCGTCAAAGGTCACCTGGCCCAGGTGGTGCCGCCCGCAGAGCATGCTGGGCGCCAGCTGGTCGTACTTTGCGCCCGAGCCGCGACGCACCGTGACGATGCCGCCGAGCGCCTGCAGGAACTCGGCCGTCTCCCTGCCCTGGGACAGCCTGATGAGCCGGCCGCCCGCGGCGCGCGCCTCGCGGCCCGCAAAGAGCTGGGCGTCCTCGACGGCCGAAGGGGACACCTCGTCGCCGGCCCAGAAGTAGACCTCGACGTTCTGGCGGCCCGAGTCGGCGTGGGCGAACGAGTGCACGCACAGGTACATCTCGGCTTCGAACAGGACCCTATCCTGGTGCGCGGGCACGGACTGCTTCTTGCCGTCGGGTCCGACGCGGAACAGCTGCGCCGACAACGTCTTGATCTTGGCGGCGCCGCTGCCCTCGGGCCGGTGCGTCAGGATGCCGGCCGCATCGACCCTGTAGTCGCGCGTCGGCCTGCTGCGGCCGAAGAACTCGTTGATCGTCGACGCGATCTCCTTGGTTGGCGACCGCACGGGTGAGTGCGCCGGGGGCGACTGGGGACCGTCCCTGTCAGTGATCGGGATCGGCTGCATCTGCTCCCTGGCCAGCGACCTGGATCGCGAGTGGAGCGTGTTGCGCCCGGACTCGATGGTCGGCGTCACGGAAGAGGCGGCAGTGGCGGCAGTGGCGGCGGTGGCGGCGGTGGCGGCGAAGAAGCCCGACATCCTGCTCTTCAGAGTGGGCGCGTTGCTGCCCGAGACGGGCTGTGGCTGTTCATCACGAGTCTGCTTGGGAGGTGACCTGGGGCCCTCGGGCAGCTGGCGGCCGCCGGTCTTTTGAGGCGATAGCGGCTTGGGCGCCTCAAACTCTGGAAGGCGGCGAACAGTGCCGGTCTTGGACGGCGAGAGCGGGCGGACCTGCTCCGGCTCGGGCTTCGTGGCTGTCTCGTCAAAGAACTTGGACATGCGTCTGACATGAAGGCTCTTGTGCGGCGACACGGGGGCGGCTGTCTCCTCTTGTTTAACTGGCGCCGGCTCCGGAAATCCCTGCCTTCCGCGGGCCATGGCTGCCACCTGCTCATGGAAGTTCTTGGTAGGCGACGTGGCGGAGCGAGACTTGGGCCGCGGCGAGTCCGTCGAGGCTTCATTGGAAGTAGAAGCAGGCTCGTTGAACGAGGTGCCGTACGAGGACTTGGGCCTCGAGAAGCGCTCTTGTTGAACCACTGGGGATGGAGACTTGGCGGCAGTGGTAGGAGCCACCTGGGTAGGCTGCTCTTCAGTGGGTGATACAGCCGCCAGCTTGGGCTGAGACGTCACCGAGGTCGTTGTCTCTCCTGCGGGCTTTGCGACAGAGCTTGGAGCCTTTCTTGGCGGACCTCGGGCTCGTCCCTTGGTCATGTGGGTGAGCTGTGGTCCAGGGGCTGAAGGTTCAGCAGAGCCACCGCTGCCCGATGCGCCTTGGCTACCTGAAGGCTCGGAAGCATTGCCGGAACCTCCTGCACCCGCTCCTGGTGGCCCGCGAGCCAGCAGCCCGGCCAGCCCCGGGTTGAAGCGGTCCGCGAGACGGCCGCCCAGAGGCTTGGGCACCGCTGCCGATGAACCTCCAGACTGAGGCGATGTCGGCTTGAACGGTGTAGACATGCTGGCTGACCTGGCGTAGTCGGCGGGCCGGGACGGCTCGGCTGGCCTGGCCTCAGCTGCCGCAGTCATCTCTTGGATGATGGAGCCCTTCCTCACACCGATGGAGCCTGGGTGTCCAAGCTCCAACTTCTTGGCTAGGCCTTCAGGGAGCGGCTTGTCGACTGCGTCGCTGAAGTTACGCGTGACTCCTCGCCCCTCCGTCTTTGCCTGTTGGAACTCGGCCTTCCTCTGCAATATCGCATCCTTGAATTCGTCTTTGCGGACAGAGGGCTTGGGGCCTCCGGTGGCGTTCAAACCGGCCAGTCCCCGTGTGATGTTGTCCTTCAGCTCGTCCGGCGCGACGTAGTTTTGTGTCTTGGTTTTGCGGAGAGTCCCAAACACGTTCTTCAGCTCGTCCGCGTTCCCTCCTGTGGTGCTGGCTTGGGGCGGTTGGAAAGGCTTGAGGCTCGCGCGGAAGTCCTTTTTAGGAGGCGTCTCAGGCTTCGACGTATCAAGCGTGGAAGCAAGGATCTTCTTCTCAGGAGCATCACCAAAAGATCGCTGGCCATCATTGAGTGTTGGGGATGGCTTTGCAAGATTGCCGCGTAGATCCGACACTGAGAGCCTGTTTGTGGAAAGCGATGGAGTGTGTACTGGTATTTTGCCTGGCAGTGGGGTTGGCTTGACACCACTTCCCATCGGCGTCGACCGGAGTAGTCCACCGACCTTGACCTCGTGTTTGTGCGTGGCCGAGAGCGCGCGGGTGCCTTCGCTGCCGGGTTCACCGCCCTTCTGAGCCTTGACCTTGTTCAACTCGGCCATCCAGGTAGGCTGGTTGTGGTTGCTTGGTGCAGGGCTCTGCTTCGGCTTCGGTGAGTCTGGCTTGTTAAGCGCTGCCTCGAGCCAGCTGGACGACTTGGTGGGGCTCCATCGCCGCGGGTCCATCGTCTTGGATGGGCTCATTGGCAGCTCCGTCTTGTCCTCCTCTGCAAGTGAGATCACCGACTCAACGGGACCGGTATCTGCGGCTTCGTCCTTGGGACCGTGGCTCGATGTTGGCCTCGATGCCGGCCTCGAGTTTGGCCCTGATGTTGGCCTAGAGATGCTCTCGCCACGATAGGCGCTACCTGATCGCGAGTGTGAGCGGCCGGCGCCCATACGAGTGATGTCCACGCTGTTCCGGTTGGAAGCTATCGTGTCGGCTCGTTGGAGACCAGTCGGTGAGTGGACACTCCACCTCTTGACGCTGTCGGTCCGCTTCATCATGGCGCTCTGGACGAAGCCGCCCATTCCCTTGGTGGGCGAGATCGGCCTAGTCGGTGAAGTCCGTCCCAGAGATGGGGACATTTGAGGAACACGCTCAAGAGGCGACGTCTCGCCGTCTCCTGTCACATCAGCGCCGGCTGGTGGATCCAGCCTCTGGGCTGAAGTGAGAGACATTGGAGAGCCCACCTTGCCGTAAAGTGAGGCAGACTGAGACCTGAGATCGGCGGAACTCTTGTAGGCTTCTGTAGGCTCTGTAGGTGACGGCAGGCTGACAGGCTGTTGAGGGCGCGACATGCCAGGAAGCTCAGCGCTGGCTGAGGACATGTCCATGCGCGGCGTGTCGTCCTCAACCTGAGTGCGGCGGTAGGCGGCCGAGTTCTGCCCGCGATCGGCGGTCTGGCGAAACCAGGCGGGGTCTTTGGACGAGAGTGCATGTGCTATCTGATCTCTCGAGGGAGCGGCCGTAGAATCGGTCTCGTCAGGGCCACCACCGACGGACGATCGTGTGGCCGCATTCTCTGCAGCCATGACGGACAATGGCCTGCTTTTGGGCCGTTCGGCGGCTTGTGATCCAGGACGCCTCTGCCAAGACATCGCCCGCGTGTGTGGGCCGCCGCTTGAGGCCTTGGGGTCGGCGTCGAACGGGGAATCGTTCTCCTTGGTGGGGGAGGTTGAAGAATAGTCTTCGGACGCCATTGTGGCGTGTGTGGTGCCGTCGTCGCTCTCGAACACGCGGGGTTGTTGGTGCTCAGGAGTGCCAAAGCGAGGAGACGATTCTAGGTTCAAGCCATCCAAAATTTGCGAGGCTTGTTTTCGGTGCAGGGTCGGCGGAGGAGTGTGTGCCGGTGACGATTTCTGGGGAGATATCGATCTTGCGCGTTCTAAAGTGATAGAAAAAAAAAAACAAGAGTTGTCAGTGGGTTTGCCCAGGTTAGATGCGAGCATGACACGGGTGCCGAGCTAGGAACAGGCAGCTAGCACCGAACAAAACAAAGAAGAAGAAAAACGGCCAAGACCGTAGCAGCGGGCCAATTGCTATGGTGGTGCACCGTCGGAGAAACCGGTGGGCACCTAAGGCAAGTAGCCTCGTTGCAGGGCAGCACAGAGCTCGAGCTTGACGCGCACAGAGACAGGCGGGTTTTGGTCGTGTTGTTGACGTGGAGGCGGTCGCTGGGGGAAACACAGGGAAAGAAGGGGCGCATAGTGCAGTGTGTAAACGGGGCGGGCGGCACTTCAAACGGGCAGAGACCGAGGGGAAACGTACCTTCGCGCCTTGCCTGGCGCTCGCGTCTTTCTTGCAGAATCTTCTCCTCCAGCTCTCTGGACCTGGCCTCGTCCTCTTCGGTGCGGCGCCCCTTCAGCTGCTCTACGTCTCGCAAGAAGCTCGACACTTCGTCGGACATGGTTCGAGGGGACTAGGCGGTGGGGGAGCAGTCGGGAGCTCGCATGACACAGAGCTGACAGCGCGGGCGGCGGCGGCGGCGGCGGCAGCAGCGGCAGCAGCAGCAGCAGCAACAACACACACCAGAGACAGGTACACGGGGCTCGCTGTTGGCGGACGAGACGGGTTTTTGGGTTAGGTCGGCCGATACGGTTCGTGGTTGGGTTCGATGCCTGCTGCTGGGAGGAAACAGGTAGCCCAGGGGAGTGAGCCGTCACGCCGAACGATGGATCACAATTAGCAGGGTGGAGAGGGGTGGTCCCGCCCGCAACGCTCTCGGTTCTGGGTTCCAGGTCTGGGTGCCAGGTCTAGTTCCAGGTGGGATTCCAGGTCGGGGTCTGCCTGGTTGGTAGGGCCGCGCTGGTGCAAGTTTTACTAGGGAGACACTGGAGACTGCCGCCGATGAGCCGCGACTATGGCATTGTGTGGGGGGGTGAGTTAATGCCTGCAAGGCACATGAACATGAACATCTCGGAGAGCGAGGTTATGTAATCGGCTCACCGTGTGTTTACTGAGGCCGTTTCCTGCTTAGTTCAAGGCCAAGTAGCGTCCGCCGTGCCCGCTAATCACAGCCAGAGCCCAACGAACCGGGATCTTCCCATTTTGCCCGTGGGCGGGCTATCATTTGGGCTGTTTCAATTTGAAAGACTGTGGCTTTCCTTGTCATTGGTGCCATGCCAGGAACCCACGGTTTCGCGCCAGTTGGCTTTCACAAGAGCCCGAGCTCACCCTGTCTGAGAGCCGACGAGGCCAGGAACACGCTGTATCACGCCAATGTTTGATCAGTGGAGGCACCGCTGTGCAAATCACATCTTGTGCCTCCAGCCTCACAGGCCCGCTTCGAGAGGCCTGGCGATCTCCCGCTTGCCCACGTGTGACCCGGCCGTCGCCCATTCAATGCTAGTGGTGAACGCTCACAGGCTGCATTCTCTGATTTCTGGTGTGCTTGCCGTGAGAAGAATCATGACGGCATCTAAAAAGTAAATGCGATATGTCTACTATACATCAGTACAAAAACAGCCTAGCTTTTGCATCCTCAACCACCCAGGCTAGGCCCTTGTCCAGGTTCTGGCCCGTCATTGCACTGCACTCCAGCAGATTCCATTGATGGGTCCTGATCTCGTCAAGTTGCAGTGCCTGTGGGGGGTGGGTGAGAAACAGTCTAGTGTCAGCGCCATCGAACCTTGCCAGGGCCTGCCCTACCCTAGAACCCGGAGAACCCAAGCACCAAACATGGAAGTCCAATGCAACCCACTGCACACAATTGTCGCAATTGCCGGGCATGAGGAGTAAACAAACCTGAACTATCCCGCCTCTCTCCATGCAGCCGTTGACGTCTGTTTTGTTTGCAAACACCATAAGGCTGGCACCCGACAGCCGCTGTGACGAGGGAGGAAGGCGTGCCCACCCGAGTTAGCAACCGCCCAAGGAAGGCACTCCTGATCTTGGCACGTAGCCGGTGATATCCGAGAAGAGTCCGTGACGCAGGGGACAAAAGGAGACGGCACACAGGACAGCTCGCACGTACCTCCTCCTGGAGCAGACCTGCGAGCTCCACGCGGCAGTCGTCGATTCTCTGGCGGTCGGTCGCGTCGACGACCCAGATCAGAGCGTCCGTCTTCTCAAAGTAGTTGCGCCAGTAAGACCTGAGCGTCTTTTGGCCGCCGACGTCCCCTGAACACCAAGGTTGGCGCCTTGCCGTCAGTGTGCAGGCACAATGACGCGTGCCTGGTGCCCCACCATGCAAACAGCCTGTCTAGGGGTGAGCGGTCGTCATGGGCAACTCAACTCACAGATGTTGAGCTTGTAGCTGGTCGGGTTGGGCATCCGCTACATTAGTAGGTGTGGTGCTAGAGGTGACGCCGGGAAGGTGTCTGAATGCACCCTTCTCACCCCATCACCCGGTGCTTACCCCTCATAGTCGATCGTCTTGATGATAAATCCTAGGGTCGGGCTGACGGTGTTGACATCCTCGCCCATGATCTTCTTGACGATGGTGGTTTTCCCAGCGTTGTCGAGGCCCCTGGCACATGCCCAAGCGGCAGGTCAGCGTCCGCACCTCCCCGAACCTTGAACAAGCACGCAGATGACAATCCACATGGATGCACCTTCACTAGGCAGGTACTCACAGCATCAAGATCCGGAGCTCCTTGTCCTTGAGCCTCGCCTTCCGAAGAATAGACAGCATCGTGGCGGTTGTGTTAGGACCGACCACTGCTCCTGCTGGTGTTGCTCCTTGAGTTTTCGTTCCCCTCTATCTATGGATGGAAAGGGTTTGGCTGCAGGGTTACGCTAGCCATGGACCCCAAGCTCTTTCCTGTCTAGCAGGAATGACCATCCACATAAGCTTCACTGAGCAGTGCTCTACAGACTGCAGGCAAATAGATGATGCCTAGGGAGCTAAGGTGCACATGAAAGGATAGAAACATGAGACTGGCTCCTTCCTTGCAAGTTGCAACGGCCGATAGAATCAGGTCATGTCGGCCTGTCACGTTTCCAACGCTAGAGCTAGTTGTGGTCCTCTGGCCCGTTCTCAACCCACCAGACGGTATTGGTGGGGGACAGCGGCGGGCCAAGACTGTGACACGGAATACGGGTCCGTCACGTGAAGCCAACTTCAGCAGGAAGGAGACAACAGTCGTTCGGTTTACACCCCAGCCCCAACACATCAGACCTCACTATCACATAGTAGTGTGCTATGAAATCTCATGGAAGGTGCGCCTACTCAAATCTATCGTGGGCAGTTTCCTTCCAGGCCTCTTGCCATCTGCACGCTTCACTGCGGCAGCGGACTACAGCTTATTTGAGTCTCGTTGGCGAACGCGGCTGGTTGGCCACGCATGTAGAATCAAATCCCCGGAACTTCCCCAAGATATAAACTGTGTATAACAATGCAGTAGGGCGTCATGGTCCAGAAGGCAGCTACTTCTACCAGCTGAGTGTGAATATTTGATGGAGTGACAAGCATGGCTGGTGCGAAAAGACCATGCCCCCCTCGGACGGTGCTGTTGGGCTGCGTGGTGCCCCGTCGAGGGCGTGCCTTCCCATATCAGAACGCAACCCACCCAGCTCCTGCCTCCTCACGGAGCAGCAGCCTCAGGAATTGGCCAATCAGACAGTCGTTGTTTGTGCTCAACGCAGATATAAACCTCCCACACAAACTCGGCTGCCCTTTTCTGACCCGCCTCACCACCTTCTTCTCTCCCACCGTTTGCCTGTCCTGGATCATCAAGGCAGGCGGAAACATCGTCCCTCGTCAGTCGACTCTGGTCTCGATACCTTTGTCTCTTCAGCAGATGTCCTTTTTCTCTTGTCGATCTCCCCGTTCTTCTGATTTCCAGCAAGCTCTTCTCCATCCCTGCCTCGCTGGCCTAGCTGGCCTCGCCTTCTCGACCTGATTTACTCGAGCGCGTCTCAAGTGTCAGCAGTCCTGTCCTCAAGTTGGTGTCTTCCCTCAGTGGCTGTCACGCTTCCTGGTAAGTACGGCCTGCCATCAGCCGTTGTCCTGCTGAGACCCCCAGCGTTCCTCCCGTTGGCTCGAGATGCTTGGCTTCCCTGGGAGCACTTTCATCAACAGCTGTACCCCTCCAACTCAGCGCTCCTCAGTCTCGCTCCTTCCCAGCATTTTACACTGCCTACCAACCCACCTGACTATTTATTCCCTCATCTGTCTTCTTTCTCCGAGCCACCACCTCGTTCTCTTCTCTCCCCCGACACCACCAAGATTCATCACCTCATCACCAGACAACAGCTTTCTTCTAGCCGCCTACCAGCATCTGCCATACCAAGTCTATTTTCCTGTCTACATCCTAGCAAATCATTGTCCCTGAAACTGACACAGATCGCCTCCCTCCTCCGTTCTTCAAGACTGTTGCAAAGCAAACATGCCATCCAACCAATCGAACACTCCTTCGCCTCTGGGCCCCGATGCATCTGCGGCGCCCGGTGAGGTCGGCAACGAGGGCCGGGCACACTCGCCTAGACGCCAAGCATCAAGAAGGCCCCAGAATGAGGCGGTATACTGGCATAGGCGGAACCTAGCGGCCCGTCGCAGAGAGCAAGCTGCGACAGACCCAGGCCCGCCCTCTGGCGGTCTGGAGCTGGTCAACACTATCGGCAGAGAGCCGGGCAATGCTGGCCACCGGGAGGGTCGCCGTGGCTTCCCTGACACCACCCTCAGCTCCGTTGGTCCCGACATCACCATCAGCGCCGATGATCTCGACGTCATCCTCGGCCCCGTTGGTCCCGATACCGCCCACAGTGTCGTTGATCCTGCCACCACTCCCAGCTTCATTGATCCCAATACCATCCCCAGTCTTTCTGGCCCCAATACCACCTCCAGTGTTGTCGGCCGCGACACCATTCGCATGGCTGTTGGCCGCAATACCACTCTCACTGCTGTTGGCCCTGATACTACACCCAGTGTTGTCGGCCGCGATACCACTCTCAGTCATGTTGGCCGCAATGTCACTCTCACTGCTGTTGGTCGCGGTATCACATCTAGTGCCATTGGTCCCGATAGCACTCCCACTGTCATTGCCCCCAACACCACTCTCAGTCGCAGCCAGAGGGCCAGACGGACAAACCCCGGCCCAGCTCGCCGACTCTACACTGAGGTCGAGCAGCCTGATCCCTCTGAGCCTCAGATGATGCATCGGCCGTTGGTGCGTCGGCAAGGGCAGAACGGAACCCGCTACTACACGCCGAGTCGTGGCGAGGATGCAACGATCGCGACGTTCTTGAGAAACAACCCGCTTCCCACTCGAGGCAGGTCGCGGTCTCGCCGTCCAACAATCAGCGAGACCAACGCGTCACGTCGGGATGTGGAGGAGGGCGGCACTGTTGCTCCCGTCGCCATTCCTACAGAGGCATCTGGCCCAGCTGCGGCCCAGCAAGATGGAGATAGCCATCCTCGCCCCGTCGGCGATGTGGTACTCACAAACCACATCGGACACAGCCCTCCCGCCAGTGACTCTGAGGAGGACTGGGAGACGGTGTCTCCGGACGACATCACCAACGGCGTTCAGAGCGGCGTGGCTGTTGTCACGTCGGAGAATGGCTCCATCGGGGACTCGCCCGCTTATGGCCATGCTGGAACTTTCGCTGGGATTCCTCAGGAGGCGCTCAAGTTCGTCATCTCCACAACACTGAAGTTCATCATCTCCGCAACAGAGCCTGCCCTTCTGCTTAGTGTCGAGGAGCTTTGGGACCACTACGACGGAGCGAGCAGTCCCCACCCTCAAGACACTGGAGCTGTTGGACAAGTCAGGATCAAAGAAGTTGCCATTCATGACGACATCACCGCGGACACTACTGTCGACGAAGCTGGTGCCGACAGAGCTGGTATCGACAAAGCCGCCGTTGATAAAGTTGTCGCCAAGCCCCAAGAGTCTGCCTCAGGTAGCAAGGAAGCTGATGTCAGGCCTCGGGAGTCCGTTGTAATCAATAAAAACATTGATATCAATACTCATGAGTCTGCCATAGTCAATACGAAAATTGGTACCGAGTCTCAGAAGCCTGCTCCAGCCAGCAAGCAATCCGCCGTCAAGCCCCAGGAGCCTGCTCCAACCGACAAGCAAGCTGCAGCCAAGACTCATCAGTCTGCTAACATCGATCAGAACACTGATGTCAAGACCCATCAGCCTGCCAACATCAATCAGAAAGCCGACGTCAAGTCTCGAGAGCCTGTTCCAGCCAGCAAGGCTAGAACTCTCACAGGCGTCGATAAGGCTAGCCCCAGCAGAGCTGCTGTCAAGCCGCAAGAGCTTACTCCCGTCAGCAAGACCAACGTTCCTGATGTCGTTGGTCAGCCTGCCCAGATGAAGCATTCCAACTCGGCCCGCGAGATTGATGATGCTGGAGCTGTCGATGTGATCTACGAGCGTCGATCCGGTCACGCGCCCAGCACCATCAGTGACTGCACGTCGTCCTATCCACCGGTCGCGTTCACGTATGACATCGAGAAAGATCCTCATATCAGGATTAAGTTCGCGCAGAGCAAGACTCCTCGTGACACTCACACCTACGCTGCTCCTTGGCAAACGCCCATGGACGGTCGCTCCCTGCGGAAGGGCGATGCAGAGGCCTACCACTGGCGTGAGAAGGTACCCAACCTCTTCTATGGCAGCCCGAACCTTGACGACGGACCTGATGTGCAGAGGTTCACGGCTCTTGTACAGGAAAAGAGCGACTGCGATGTCGATCCGCAAGATCTCGCCTTTCAGACTCCATATGTGACAAGGGACACTCTCCGCAACCCAGTTGACACTGTCAAGATGCAGGATTCCCGGCGAAAGCGCCTGCACATCCAACTCAAGAAGAAGAGCACGGATGCCGAGACCCGCAGTGCCATGTCTCACGGTCCTTGCCCTCTGGCTCATCTGGTCAGGGTTCCAGCCTTTGAGCCCGATCTGACATGCTATCTACGACCCGCAAACGAGTCGGACCTGGAGGCCATGCAGGCCATGTACAACTACGAGGTCAACCATGGCACGCAGTCCAGGGACGTGCAGGAGGTCACGGGCGAAAGCATGACCGCCACACTAGAGATGTGCCGGGCCTTGAGCCTGCCCTTCATCGCCGTCATCGCCGGCCTGGAGCATGACGTCCGGGGCAACAAGAAGTTGGTGGCGGAGGGCCAGACACCGGAGCCAGAGAGGGGCACGGTGCTCGGCTTCGCCTTCCTGTGCAATTACTTCCATGGTTTCTGTGGCGCCGGCAACTCGACTGGCAACTCGGTCGTCCGCCTGAGCATAGTCGTCCACCGGGCGCATCGGCGCAAGTTCATCGCCCATGCGCTGATGGACAAGCTGATGCACCTGGTGTGCCCCGACTATGACTACCAGGAAGCGGCGGCATTTATCGACCATGACGGGAGCCCAGCTCACCGTGGCCCGGGCTTCGCGCCCCGTCAATACCGGCATATCATTGCCGAGGCCATGGTGCAGCAGGGCGACCAACGGTCGCTAGAGGGCCTCCAGAAGATGCTGGGGGACCGGTTCGGGTTCGCCCGGTGGACCGAGCTCAACCAGAGCCACGAGCACCAGGGCGCGCTCTACAACCTGGTCTCCTGGCGCCGGGAGGTCCGGCCGGTCGCCCCGGCCGCCCCGGCCCAGTAGGCGCCCGTCCTCCCCGCTCCCGGCTCCCCCCCTCCCCCCTCCCCCCTGTGGGGATAGTTGACTTTTTTTTTTTTTTTGCTGGGATTGCGCCGCTCTCCTTTTTTTTTTTGTTAGGTTTTTTTTTGTAGAAATTAAATCGTTGTAAAAACAGCTCTCGTGCTATGTGACAGTGGCTGCCCCTTGATGAATGCTGTCGGCTCGTGCTCTGCCTAAACCCCATCACGTATGTCGGGATGGCAGCGCAGGCATGATCATGAAACTGTTGTTGTCGACGTTCGTTGTGAGAATGAAGGCAGCACCGTGAGACTGGGCCGCCGTCCTGAACAGAGCTGCAGGCATGTAGTCCGCTAGGGCCCAGTTTGCAGTTCCTTCGTTGAGCTAAGATCAAAGACGCGAACATGATGTTCTGACAGGGACGCGCAGAGGAATTTGGCAGAATCCATCTCCAGCGCCTTCGGCTCGCGGCTAACAGTGCATAACTACCTACCTACCTACCTGTCTACGTAGGCACCGCGAGAGCCTAGCCAACAACACTTCTGATACCCAGGGCCAGTCCAAACGGGCGTCATCGCAGATATCGACAGTTGCCCCTTTGGGGCATCTCACATCACAGAACACGTTCTCCAACAGTGAAATGGGCTGCAGGGGTGGCCACGGCAATCAGGGTTCATGATGACGACACGGGCAGCGAGCGAGATCTCGGCAGTGGGGGGTTGGGAGCTTGTAAGCGGGGTAGATACACTATTGGCGATGGGATCAACTGTTACGGGGGGTACAGTATGTATATCAATGACACAGATTTGGTGGTGAGGGGTACATTGCTTGACTGTAGAGGACTAGTCTGGCTGCTAATCTTGACAAGGCAGTGGATCACTTCTGCCGATGATGGCCGTGGTGCATGTTCTGAATCGGGCCATGATCCCGAACCAAGTCCGGCTCTGAGGGAGATTGCCAGTGAGAGACGAGACGTGGACGAGGCCGAAAGCCGGAAAGCTATATTGAGCTCCTCGCGACCACACCCAACCTCCACAGTCACTTCGACCCCTCCCCCTCGAGACAGGACCTACAAACATCACAGGCAGAAGCGTTGAAGCGTCAAGCGCAAACACACCCACCCACCCATATATCCACACACATACACAACACACAGACCCAACAAAATGGCCTTCACCACAAAGGCAACCATCGCCTCCTTCGGCGGCCGCCTCCTCAAGCTGTCGCACCAGTCGGCCACGACGGGCACCGAGATGGCCGTGCACCTATACGTGCCGCCGCAGGCCTTCCGCGACGGCAAGAAGGTGCCCCTCCTCATGTACCTGTCAGGCCTCACGTGCTCGCCCGACAACTGCGCCGAGAAGGGCTTCTTCCAGCACGGCGCGGCCCGCGCGGGCGTCGCCGTCGCCTACCCGGACACGTCGCCGCGCGGCCTGTCCCTGCCCGGCGAGGACGACTCGTGGGACTTTGGGTCCGCGGCCTCGTTCTACGTCGACGCCGAGAGGGAGCCGTACGGGAGGAACTACAAGATGGAGACGTACCTGACCAAGGAGCTGCCGGCGCTCCTGTACGGCAGCGACGAGGGCGCGAGGTGGCTGGACGAGGCCAAGGGGATCAGCATCACGGGCCACTCGATGGGCGGCCACGGCGCGCTGACGCTGTACCTCAAGAACCCGGGCATGTACCGCAGCGCCAGCGCCTTTGCGCCCATCGCGAACCCGACCAGGTGCCCCTGGGGCGAGAAGGCGTTTGCGGGCTACCTGGGCGACGACAGGGAGGCGTGGAAGAGACACGACGCGACGGAGCTGGTCAAGGGGTGGAAGGGTGGGGATCTCAAGATGCTGATCGACGTGGTGAGTCTTTTGTTTTCTTTCCCCTATCTCTCTTTCTTTCTTTCTTCATGCTTTGCTCCGCAAATACGGATATATCTCTCTTCTCTCCCTCCAGGACTTGTTACTGACGACGGAGCTTCCAAACAACAAAAAAAAAACAGGGCACCGGAGACAATTTCTACAAGCAGAAGCAGCTCCTCCCCGAGAACTTTGAGCAGGCCGTCAAGGAGGCCGGGCACACGGGGCTGAACCTGAGGTATCAGGAGGTGAGAACAAAAGGCCCCTCCCAACATCTTTGTCTCTCTCATGTCCATGCTGACGGCCCTGGGCCACCAGGACTACGACCACTCATACTACTTTATGGCTTGTAAGTTTCCCGAGTTATATATCCGGATCTACAGGCTTCGCCTTCCCGAGATTCTCTTGCAACCGCTGACCATGCCCTTCTCAACACAAAACAGCATTCAGCGACGACCACATCAACCACGCCGCCAAGTACCTTGACGCTTAGGTTGGCCTCGACACCGCAGCTTAGGGTAACCCTAGCCGCAGAGCACAGCAAGCCTCGGGCGGTATGGAGAGGGGTTCCCTGCCACCAGCTTATACTCACAAGAGGAACCCAAGCACTCAGCGGCAAGGCGAGAACGAGCACGCATCTTCAATAACACATGCGCTCAAAAGCGTAATCAACGTCTTGCCGCCAGTGAGATTATGTACCTCGTGAATAATATTACTATGGACAAAGAATCCTGCCTTTTGCTTCCAGCGAAACCAAAGTGCAAAAAAGAAACAAGCCGCAGCCGCTGGTACAGACCACAGATCACCATTCTCCAATTAGGGAGGGCTCCTTGAGCTGTCTTTCGGTATCCAAAGCAAAAAGATGAAGAAGATAGCAAAGCGTAGAGGTGACATGGTAGAACAGGGGAGGGAAAAAAGCAGAACGTCCAAGAAGAGTCATCCACCTCTCAAAAGGTCAGTAACAACAATACAAGCGCCAACCGCCTCCCCTGTTTGTCTTTTTGTCTGGTTTTCGTCGTATTCGTAGCAACCAACGTCATCAGCGCCTCGTCCTATCCACAATCCTTCATAACCTCGTAAAACACATCAAGAGAGAGGGAAGAGAGGAGGGCAAGAAGTGAAGGGAGGAAACATGAGTGACCTCGCTCCGAGAATTAGAGTGGGTGAGTGTTCCAAAAAACACCCACCCCCGAGCCCCCTCCCTCTCCCATGCATGGCAAACTGTGCAGCCAGCCAGCTCCATATCACATTCCACATCCTCAGCTGATCCGCTTCTCAACGACGACAGGCGCGGCAAAGCCTTCCTTCTCGAGCTTGGCGCGCATCTCGAGCTCGGCTTCGCGGCGGATGCGCGTGTAGGCGAGGCGCTCGAAGCGTGTCAGGCCCCTCCACCAGTGGCGGCCGGCCTCGTGCTCGCTGATGCGGTCCAGCAGGTCGGCGGTTCGGAGGCGCACGTCGCGGTCCTTGTGGAACAGACCCAGTGCCAGGTAGAAGAGTCCGGCGTGCGACTCGGGCGCCACCGTGAGCAGGAGGCTGATCTCGTCGTACGAGTGCACGTGTCGTGAGAAGGCCATATAGACCTCGCGGCTCTGCGCTGGCGTGAGGCGCTGCGTACGGAGCCGGTCGTGCATGTGGTGCAGGTCCAAGCCCTTGAGCGGCTTGACGGCGTACATTTGCGCGGCGTCCTGTGGCAGAGGTCGTGTCAGCAAACATAATGGTAGACGCTAACGACAGAGATATAGGAAGGGAGACGAACATGAATAAAGTTGTAGTAGCTCCTTGTGTTTCTCCACCCCTCTATCCTCGTCAAATTGCCCGCTAGCTCGCGTAGCTTGGCGTTCTCGTCAGCCCAGACGTATCCATGACCACCCACGGGTGGCTGCAGCGGGACGCCGTTGCCGTCGCCAGCAGCGCCCTCGGCGTCGGCGTTGCCGAGGTACAGGGCGCTGGCGCCGTAGACGCTCTCCTCGAAGGAGGCGGCGACGCGCGTGAACTTGAGCACCCAGTCCCGCCACTTTGCGCGAACGACGCGCTCGCCTGCCCGCGCCGTGATACTACGCATGATGTCGGCCATAAAGGCGTTGTCGCCCGTCAGGTCAGCGTTGGCTGCGGCACCCGCCGGGCCGCCACCGGAGCTGGGGACGAACTGTGCGTAGCTGGGGTTCTGCTGCCGGAAGTAGACAAGCCCCTCCGTCACGGGCGCGTCCTCGATGCGGCTACTGATCTTGACGCGGCCTGTGGGCAGATCGCACAACACGTCCCACCACTCCGGGTGCAGTTCGAAGGTCGGGTTCGTCACGCCCGCGATGAAGCCGGGGACGTTGAGGAGGTCGTCGATCTTGGACAGGTCCGTGTAGGGGAAGGCGAAGCGGGTGAAGCTGCGCAGGATCCCGCCCGAGGCGAGGGCGCAAGCGGCCAGCACGGCCTCTGCGACCTCACCCGAGGGCATTTTGTGCCCGATGAAGACGACGCGCTTCTGGGTCAGCAAGGCATTGACGAGCACAATGATGGGGTGAGTGTTGGGCCCGTTGGTAGTCAAGTGTGGGTGGGCGCGGAAGGGCTGGGGGCTCTTGACGTGTGGTTCCGAGAAGTTCTGGATCAGCTTGATGAGCGAGAAGTCGCCCACCGTCTCGGGCATGACGGCCACGGGCACCTTGATGGGGATCGGGATGCCCTTGTAGACCACCTTGCTCTCAAACTCGTGCGTGTCGCGCGGTACCGAGTACGTCGACTGGCCCTCGAAGTGCGCCTTGGTCCCTGCTCTAGAGATGCCTAGGCGCTTCGTGCTGCCATCTGCCGGGTGGTCCGCCTTCTCGTCCTCGTCCTCGGCTATCCTCATCCGGATCATCTCTTCAAACTTTTCCACAAACAGATCCTTGTTGTCGCTTGCCTGTAGCAGATGTCTTTCCAAGAGACTCAACTTGGGCATGAGGGACAGATCCATAGCGTTGACTGCATCGTACAGCATAGCTATTGTCTCGGGAACAGGGGCCTTAAAGTATTCCTCGAGCGCTAGCAGTAAAAGGGGCTTTGTGAAGCGTCAGATTCGGTCTCAAGACCCAGAGTGAGGGAAATCGATGTCCGTTGCGGCATGACCAACCTTGTATATATGTAGAAATGGATGTCTGGTGCATATCGCCATTGCCTTGACGATGGAGCCGCGCTTGACGCTAGAGTCCAGCTTTGTGTAGACGAGATTCAGCACGTATATAAGGGGCGGTCCCTCGTCGCAGTCGGCTTCGCTATCTGTCGAGGCGTCGTCGTCCCAGTCGTTCTGATCTGCGCCGTCTTCCTCGGGGTCGTCGCCCTCAGCGACAGGGAGGCCAGCGGCCCTGTCGCGGCGTCTTTGTCGCCGCTGCTTGCGGGCCTCGACGGCCTGGCGCTCCTGGTCCTCCTCCTCCTCCGTCTGGTCCTTGTGCAGGAAGAAGATGGTCCAGTCCTGGTTGCGGCAGTGGGCGCCGTCGGGCAGCATCAGCTCAGCCAGCATATTCTCGTCGCCGGTGATGGCGACGGGGTACTGGTGCTCCATGACGGAGCCGCGGTCGATGTCGAACTCGGCGACCAGGATGTACTCGACATGGCTGTCGGTGGCGCCGCGCGGGTACTGGGGGCGCAGCTTGCGGGAGGGGTGGGCGTCGGGGTTGTAGCGGCGGGGTGCGTCGGCGGCGGACAGGGACGAATGCTGGGAGGAGACGCCGGTGCCGGTGGAGGGCGACTTGCTCTTGGAGCTCGGGTTGGAGGTGCGGTCCGTCTGGTCCGACATGACGGCGGTCGGTGGCGGCTGGGGTGAGCGCGAGGGGCGCGACATTTGCGACATTTGCGAAGTGGAGCGCGACGAGTGGGGGAAGGACGACAGCGAGGTTCTCCTGTTGTGCAACGGCGCGGTCACGCCGGCGACGCCATTGAAGCTAGCGCTGGCGTGCGGGTTGGTGGTGCTGCTGGTGCTGCTGGCGCTGGCTACCCGAGCGGAGGCCATTGGTTGTTCGGCGCCAATTACCGGCGTCGCCTGTTATCAAGCTCGGTCGCAAGGCCAAAGGCAGGGCCAAGGGTCGAGCCAAGGCAAAGTCAAAGTATGCACGGCACAGCACACGGGGCGTGGTGGCGTGGCTGAAGGGCCCGCCGCCCAGCGACGACGGTCAAACAGGGAGCGACGGATGTGCCGTTTCGTTTTGTTTCGCCAAGTGGCTTCCCCTCGGCCTGGAGCGAGGGCCAAAGCGCGAGGCTGAAGGGTCTGTCGAGGGAGGAGGTGGGTTCAGGAGAAGCCAAGACAGAAGCCAAGACAGAAGCCAAGGACGGGCCGGCAGCCAGAGGGCCTGCCCCTTTTTGAGCCGACTGGCCACGAGCGTCAACTGATCACGCAGTCGAGGGAGTGGCAATCATCCGATGGATGGCCAGTCGAAATGCGTCTGCCCAAGTCTCCTAGGATAAGCAGGCAGAGGGCAAGGCCCGGGATGCTGATAGAGTTCAGGGCTAGCGAACGTGAGCGAGATCCGAGATCCGGGGAGAGTTGATGTACCAGATGCGCAAGGAGAGGCGCACGAGGACGTAGGTACAGTGCAGTACGCTGGCGTTTGCTGGCTGGAGGAGCCGCCGCTAGTAGAGGTAGGGAGCTGGAGCTGTGCCTGGGCTGCACTGCAACGGAAGGCGTGTGCGTGGGTCGCCAACCAGGAACTAGGCAGGGCGCCAGAAAACCAAGGTCAGAAGGCCAAGGTTCGGGTCCAGAGCGTCGGGATAGCGGTACCCTGGGCGGGACAGTCCGGTCTTCGGTTGATGGGCTCAGCAGCGGACGTCAAGCGGACAAGCTGAAATTGACGTCTCACTGCCGCAGCGCTGGAAGTCTCGAGAGCCCCTGGAGCCGCACGGGATCGGGTAGTCGCAGGCACGGGCCTGCATTTACGGGGCCTCTGCTCGTGCCTTCTCTCTGCAATTGATTGCCGTGTCCGGATATTCACTCACTGATCCATCCGTGCAACCAAAAGAACTGTGGGCAAACTGGGACCCAAAGAACTGGAGGGCCCTCGTCCACTCGCAGCGGTCAGGGCAGTCCACGTGCCTGACTGACCGCGAGAACCCCCTCAGGGACCACTCCCCCCCTCACCCCCTCCCCTCTCTCACCTGCCTCTTCTCCGACGCCTTCTGCGAGTGCTCCGACGTTGCGTCAGAACTGGGGCGCCAACGCACGGGACTCTTGCGGCCCGAGACCGATAACGTCTTCCTCCAACACCGTCAAGACCCCTTTTTAACCCCTCGTTATGTGTTGCTCGACGCATTTTGTGACTTGCTCTCTTTAGGAAAGACCCAGGTTCACCGACTCGAGAAAGCCAATGGTGAGTGGCACGTGAGCCGTTGTCCATTCCTTTGGAGCTCCAAGGACCCTGAATGCGACGGGCATGGAGGCGCCTGGCGCTTGCACCTCTCCTTGGGCTCCTAATTCAAGTGCTTTACCCCTGACAGATGTGAGGGGACAGGGGCAACAATTGCCATGCCACGCATGCTCGCACGTGCCGGTTGTTTGGCGCCCGAGATTGGACCCCTGCGCAAGTGGGCCGTACCCCGCCTTTATTGGCACCACCTTTGGCACCACCCAACCACAAGCCACATGTAGGTGTTCCAGCCACAGATCCAATCTTATCTCATGAAGCGCAAGCCCCACTGGCCCATGCCTGGTTGTCTAGTCAATGTTTACTTTCCAAGTCACATCCCAGATCTCGCCTCCCCCCGACTGGGCATGATCTCATCGGCAGCAGAGCATCAATCCAGCACAGATAATCTTGTGACGAAAGCATCCTTTCCCAGCCGAACGCGCTTAGGCAGTCTTCTGACTTATTCTTTTCCCACGCGAAATTGAGAGTGTCCCTGCTGGGTTGGCTGCCGAGTTGCGTCGTGAGCGCCTTCAGACGCCGCCTAGGTGTAACTGGCGAGGTTGCCAAACCAACCGCCTGCACGTCCCTAGACCTAAGCCAAGAACAGATCCCTCCACCGACGAAACATGGTATGTGAGAAGCCGGGAAACCGGATCTCCAGCTGGTCCAGCTGAAATCCCCACCGAGTCGCATATGGCCTACGTAGTCGCGTAGTCGCCGAGATATTGTGTGGCTGCAAGGCATCTCGCAAGGGGACAAACGGGCAGGCACAGAACTCGAAACACCCTGTGCCATCACTTACTGACGGGCGAGATAACCGTAGGCGGCGACACCAACCTCGACATTCAGGTCATCCTTTGGCGGCGGCGGATCGGCACGAAACTCTCCCTTTAGACGTCCAGAATCTCCAGCGTCCCCGTCACCTCTCCGCCAGCAGCACACCACGCCCCATCAGCACGTCGCGCCCATGGCATCGCCGCCCCGGCTCGGATCAATAACACCGTCGTCCGCCATCGCAGGTTCCAGATTCGCTTACCAGTCAACTGCCACCCTCGCCACCGGCGGCCACTTGAGCAGCCCTTTCACGCCCAAGAGCCGGAGTAGCGGCGGTGGCGACTCGGTGACAACGCCGACCAACGCACGGCCAAACCTGAAGAGCGTGGCGCCGAGGACAATGAGCAGCAACACGGCCATGTCGCAGCTGCCGCCTTCCCAGATGCGCATGCTGAGGGAGGGCTTCCAGATCCTGGATAGGGACAGTGACGGCACAGTCGGCCGGGAGGATGTAGCAGACATGCTGGGTCAGCTAGGTACGTATGGACGAAGAACCCCAACCTGAAGGAGGAGGGAGGGGACAGCCAATCTGATATGAGTTTTCACCCACGCCACATAGGTCTTCCAGCAAACCCGTCAGACGTGTCGGCCTTCTTTCCTCTGGGGTCCTCCTCCAGCACGTCGCTGGCCGTGTTCCTCAGCTCGCTCTCATCGGTACTGGCGGCCATGTCACCTAGCGCGGAGCTGCTGTCGGCCTTCTCGGCCTTTGACGATGATGACAGCGGGCAGGTGGACCTGGCGGAGCTTCGTGACGCCCTGCTGAACACGGCGCCCGAGCCGGGCGAGCGGCCCTTGACCGAGGACGAGATCGACCGCGTCATGGACGGCTTCACGGGCAGGCGGGCCTTTAGCAAGAACAACAGCCGGCCTGGTGGTCTGTCCAAGCGCGGCGAGGTGTTTAGGTATCAGGACTTTGTGCACTCCATAGTGGGGGGCAACGGAAATCCCGAGGCGGCCGCCGAGGAGGACGACTCATCCTGAAGCGAGGGCAGCCTCGTTTGACAGTGACTTTTGTTTGTTTGATAGGTGGGAATATGAATTGGGGTGGCGGGCGAAGGCTACGGTGGCAACGATGCAGCGGTGGGTTGCTGTTTGCGACGCTACAACAATTGGCCGGACCAGCAAATGGGATGCAGCTGCGGCCTCCTGCAGTCTGTCGGGTTTATCAACGAGGTGGCGGGTAATGGCGGGGTCGCCCAGTGTTTTCTTTCATGTCATATTTTGTACAGATTTGTTTGTGTGGTTCTTGGGTCGGCGTTTGGCGGAGGGCGAGGCAGTGGACACTCTAGAGAACCACTCTGGAGGGCACTCTGGAGGACAGCCGGCCATTCAGGGCTTCATGTTGGATACGAGACTTGACCAGGGGCCGATTGGGCCTGGGGACAAACAAAGCGGATGGCCAAACTTTACGTTGCTAGATGGTTTATCGTCGGAACTCCTTCCGAACCGTAACCTCCCCCAATGTCCGTCCCGGTTTGGTGCGTAATACGCCGTATGTACGTAGGCGGTAAGTGCGTGCGTGCGTGCGTTTGTTGTTGTATTACCATGTCTCCATTTTGACATGTCTCCATGGGTTTATTCGCGAGATGGAGCGACGGATTACAGTGATTGCACATCTGGCTGGTGAAACAAGGCCCCGTTGCGATCGGCAATAAAATCCTGTCAGATGCACGTCTGCCGGAGGGCAACCTGGCAGCCCCATCCGGCTCATCCTGCTTGAATCTTGATGGGAAGGAAAATACACGGGTGGGCGGTAACGGTTTTTGGGCCAACTGTTGGGGGCGTGCGTGTGTGCTGAGCCACCGAGCCACTGAGCCTCCATGGTGTTTGGTGTGTCGGGAGCGGGACGGACGGGAGGCTTTTTTTCTTTTTGGCACCGTCTGAAAGTCGGTGGAGCTAGGATGCCTGATGCCTGTTGCTGTTGCATGGGATGTAGCTGCTTGTTGATCCCAGCCCGCCCATATCCAGAACGGCAACCCCATCGAGGTCGGAGTCCGTTCCATTGGTCGACCCACAGAAGCTTCGAGAATCCAGTCAAGCCGGCCGTCGGCCTCCACTGCTGCGCTCCGATGCTGCGTCGCCGGAACCGCACCGCACAATGTGTACAGTACACATGGTGATTTTTATCCAGCGCCTGATGGCTGGCTGTGTGCGCTCTGCTGGCGCTGGCGCTCATCTCCCCTCCGCGGTGCCGGCTCTGTTCCCCGCCTACCATCCATCAAAGGGTACCCGATGGAGAGTACCTGTCCCTCTCGCACAAGGAGGAGGTGTGGGCTGGTCGATGGATCCCCACCACGGTCCCAAGCCCGGGCTCGTCTTTCCGAGCCGTGCCCATCCCAAGCAAGGGGAGCTAGCCAGGTCACCCTCAAGGGGCGCCCCGTCATCGGTCACTGGCTGCCCTCTCTCTCTCCAGAGCGCGCCCCAGCGTTCTCGGACGGAATAGGGAAAACGCAGTAGTCGAGGGCTCGACGACGGTGGCCACGTGCGCTCCAAGGCTCCGAGTCGGGGTTGCCCTAGTCTCGTCGTTGTCGTTGCCGCGGCCGCGCCTGTTTGCGGGCAGCCAATGCCCATGTTTGTTTACTGCGGGCTCCTGCAACGCAGTAGAGGGCGCATGGTGATTTGTCCCTGTGCTGGAAAAGGAGGAGGCTAGGTTGCATCAAGAGCTGGGCGTCAATCGCCTGCGACAGGCCAGCCAGTCAAGAGAGTAAACAGAGATCGCACATCACTCTAGGCCTCTCTGTCTCTCCGCTCTCGTTTTTTCCCCCCATGAGGTTGTGGCTGGCAACGGAGCCACCAAACCATGTCTGGTGCCTTCAGCAACAAACAACCCCTGTAGCCGTGTTAGCGTAATGGTAATGGTGGCGGGGAGTCGAAAGTGGGGGATGACATGCGCGGTAGTCGTGACCCTCGGGCGCTGCAAATGTACGCAGCTCCACATGTCCCCGGTACAAAGAAAAAAGGTATTCCATGGGTTGGGGGGTTAATGGGATTGTCGGATGCACGTCCCAGTGTGGGCGAGGAGCCGGCGGAAGAGCAGCGAGGATGACAGAGCCAGCCTGATCCCCTGTGACGAATTTGGGCTGGGACAGGCGAGCTGATAATTTGCTGGCACCTAAAAGAATTCCTTTTTATTTAGGTCGCTTTTTTCTTATTTTCCTACTTCTTTTTGACTGGAGGGCCTGCCAAAAATTTCCCGTCCTCCTCGAGCCTTGCTTGTCCAGTCTGCTTGTGTCCTCCTTCTGTCGTGTTCGCTGTCCTTCTCTGGCCCGAACGAAGATTTTGCGCACTCCACGGCTGCTGCATTCTTCAACCCAAAAGAGCCGCCCACCTGGTTCACTGCGGCCCAGCATCATTGCTGCCTTTAAACACCCGACATTCTGTCCGACCGCCACATCGCCCGACCGCCACGAGGGGAAGAGCGGGAGACCAGACAAGGAAAAAAAAGTCAAAGGGAAAAAAAAAAAACGAAAAAAAAAACCGAAAAAAAAAAGAAGAGAAAAAAAAAAAAAACGCACACAGCGACGACGCCCCTCTGTCCGGCGCTTCAGTGCTGCCACCTCTTTGCCTGCCTTGATGCAGCTCTGAGTCCGGGCTGACCTTGCTGCTCGGCTCGGTGGCTACCGCTCCCACCTCAGGTCCAACCGCTCGACTAGCACGCGAGTGGGCGACAAGCAGCATTAACCCAAGGTCTTAAGGGGTTCTAGCAAATTCCTCCGCGGCTGCTCCGTCCGGTCCGAACAACTCCAAATGAAGTTTTTCGGCAAGAAAACGTCCAAAAAATCGCAGCCACCGGACAGCGGCGAAGAAGAGGACGACTTCTCCCACCCGGAGCCTTCCTCGCCCGCAAAGGGCCCCTCCCGCACTCACACAAAATCCCCATCAAAACTCTCCGCCACCCCCAAGCCCGCCACACAAGCCGCCGCACCACCCTCGCCAGTGCAGAGCCCCCAGCCGCAGCAGCAACAGCAGCAGCAGGCCGCGCCCCGCGACCAGAAGCCGCGCACCTCCCGCTCCTTTGGCCGGCACTCGACCGACCCGGGTTCCTCGCGGCGAGCCAAAAAGATTGACCCCGACACCCACCCGCTCAACCTGCCCCCCGAGCAGCGGAAGCGCTACTCGGCCATGTCAAACATGTCGGCCAACCGCGACTCCATGGACATCGACAAGGAGCCCATCAACGGCGCCACCCCGTCGCCCAAGCCCGCTGCCGCCCCGAAGCCCCAGCCTGCCCCGCCTGTGGCCGCCTCGGCCTCCTCAGCAGCTGCTGCAGCCAGTCATACAAATGGCGTCCCCGAGCCCAAGGAGACCGTCCCTATACCCCCGCCACACACGTCCCCGGCCCCGACGCCTGCCGACGAGGCCGAGACATTCAAGGCCCTTGGAAATAGGTTTTTCAAGGACAAGGAGTATCACCGTGCCATCGGCGAGTACACAAAGGGTATGTGCTGTGTCATCAAATTTTTCTTGCCCTTTTTTTTTCTCGTCTCGTTACTTGCAGCCTCGTGATGGAGTCAGCCCGCAAAGACCCCACCAGACGTAATACTGATGTCCACTCTCCACCCACCACACACAGCTGTCAACCTGGTGCCCGACTCTCCCGTCTTTCTGAGCAATCGGGCTGCCGCCTACATGCTGGCTGGAAAGCACGAAGACGCGTTAGAGGATTGCAAGCGGTCTATTGAACTGGATCCCGGAAACCCCAAGACTCTTCTCCGGTTAGCTCGCATTTACACCAACCTGGGCCAGCCTGAAGATGCTATCGCAACCTTCAACCGCATCAGGCCGCCTCCCTCTGCCAAGGACACGGCCCCCGCCCGGGAGATGCTGCAGCACGTCAGGTCGGCCCAGGACGCTCTCAGGAGCGGTGCGAGCTCCATGGTGCTTCGCGCCCTCGACATGGCCGAGCGGCATCTGGGTATCGGCGCCCTCAAGCCCCGCAAGTGGCAGCTCATGCGTGGCGAGGCACTGCTCAAGATGGGCGACGTCAACTCGCTCGGTGAGGTGCAGAACGTGGCCATGTCGCTCCTGCGGGGCAACAACCAGGACCCCGAGGCCCTCGTACTAAGGGGTCGGGCTCTGTACTCGCAGGGTGAGAACGATAAGGCCGTCCAGCACTTCCGCAAGGCCGTCAGTCTCGACCCGGACTTCAAGGACGCCGTCAAGTGGCTCAGGGTAGTCCAGAGGCTCGACCGCATGAAGGAGGAGGGTAACAATGAGTACAAGAGCGGCCGGTGGCAGAATGCCGTCGACAAATACACATCTGCCCTTGAGGTCGACCCCTACAACAAGGGCACCAACTCCAAGATCCTGCAGAACAGGGCTCTGGCCTTTACCAAGCTGCGGATGCACGAGCAAGCCATCGCCGACTGTGACAAGGCCCTGTCCCTCGATCCCAGCTACATCAAGGCTCGCAAAACCAAGGCCAACGCCCTCGGGCTGGCTGACAGGTGGGAGGATGCTGCCCGGGAGTGGAAGGCGCTCTCGGACATGGACCCAGAGGACCGCAGTCTGAGGCAAGAGCTGAGGAAGGCCGAGATGGAACTCAAGAAGAGCCAGCGTAAGGATTACTACAAGATTCTCGGCGTGACCAAAGATGCCGACGACAAGGAGATCAAGAAGGCCTACCGGAAGCTTGCGGTCATCCACCACCCGGACAAGAACCCGGGCGACGAGGCGGCCGAGGCGCGTTTCAAGGATATTGGCGAAGCGTACGAGACCTTGAGCGACCCTCAGTAAGTTTTAATCTCGATCACGTCAGGCACCCAAACCTCGCTTGGCTCAACTAACCAACATCTGTCCCATAGGAAGCGGGCCCGGTACGACAGCGGCGACGATTTGGTCGACCCTTCGGACATGTTTGGCGGCGGCGGCATGCACGGCGGCATCGACCCCGACGTGCTCTTTAGCATGATGGGCAACAGCGGCGCTTTTGGCGGCGGCGGCGGCGGTGGTGGCTTCCCCGGCGGCGCCAGCTTCAACTTCAACGCCGGGGGAGCTGGCGGCCCCCGCCAGCGCGGATACCCCGGCGGCTTCCAGTACTCTTGACAACCCAGGCCCGACGACGTTGACGATGGAGAAGACAGCTCCGATTCTTGCGCCTCGTCCCGTTCCGATGAGGAGGCCGAGGACACCCGGGGTTATGGTCTGTATTCTGACTCGGAGGACGAAAGCTTCGACCACGGGCCTGACCAAGGGCATACCGCCCGAGACCAGACGGAGGGCGAGTGGGATGAGAGGAACATGTACGCCGCCGGGACGCGCGGCAACAAAAGCGGCTTCGCGGCCGCCAGGGACAGCGACGAGCGGAAGCTAACCCGGATCCGAAAGCTGTGGCCCTGGCTTGTCGGCGCCGCCGTGCTCCTACCGCCCAATCTTGTTGGTTTTTTAATCCTGATCTGTGGTGTCATGTATGTCTTTAGCGTGGCCGCGGCTAAATTTGCCGTGGACCGGGACCGTCACGGAGGGGACCGTCATTGAAGTAAAAGGCCGCCGTCTTTTTGTTTCCCCCCTGTTTCTTGGGCGGCCTCGCAAGCCGGGACGCATAGATTGGCGGCGCGCGCACCATCCCGCTTTAATTTTTTGCTTCGTGTTCTTGTTTTCTAGAAAGGTGTAGCAAGTGTGGGAGGGAACACTACCCGTCGTCACTGATAGACCGCACATTTTCTTCCTACTCTCCCTGTTCCTTTACTCGTCCTCCTGCTACCGTTATTGTTCATCTCTACCCTTCCCTCGCATTTCTTGTCTTCATGAATGGTCTCAGCAACACGATATCGGGCGTTGTCAAGGAAAGGGGGCGAACCGGGCTGTGTGGCTTTTCTTGCAACGGGCCTCGCGAACCCACTTCATTTTTCTCACGTGTCATAATTTCCTAGTTAGATGTTGGAAATCGACCGTGTCGATTCTCAGGCACTTGGCACTTTTGAACTACCCAAGATGTTGCCGGCTGTGTGGCCTTCTAGCTGTGGATTGTGTGATGGTTCCGAGTGAAGTTATTTTGTGACTCGCCCTCGCCTCGGTTGGCTTTCATCCCTGATCATTATTGTGAGTCTATGCTGGATGGACACGTTGGATACCTGTGTAGAACTGTGGCCTCATGGGCGCCTCGACCTTCGGTGGAAAGTCTTGCTATTTCTGTCGTGGATGTCTCTTTCTTTGTTGTAAGACTCAGCCCCCGGCCTGCACATAGCCACATCGAGCTTATACGCCCAGAGGATAAAAGTATCGACGGCATTTTCATTTCTCAATCACGCCTTGAACCACCTGTCAAGTAAATAAATTTCTACGCTCCGGGTCGTTCAACTCTTATTCCGACCTAAATCTAGTTCTCACTAGGCTACTAGCATTTGCTTCTGCCTCTGTTCTCTCTTGGCCGTTTTCGAAAGTAACATGTGCGCAAAACCCCCACTGTGTGTATAAATAAACCAGCGACCAAGCTCAGCGTCGCAGCTTTCGGATCCTGGCTTTCTCGGCTCGCCGCACACTGTGTCGTGGCTTGAATAGGCGTTTCCACACAATTCTCGAAACAAGCCTGTGCCTTTGCGGAGACGGAGTCAGCGTCCCCACTCAATCTTGGTACCGTCTGTATGACCCCTGCCTGAATTTTTGGGAGGCCACGGTAGACGATTCCGAGTTGGGTTTTGCGCTGGCCGAAAGCGCAGGAACGCTCATCATCTGGACGGCCACATATGCACCATCCCTCTCTCACTTTCCAACCCAGACTTTGAGTGATCTTGCCTTAGGACACATTACAGTCCACGGTCTGGCTGCGCGCGCTTGTATATCATCCACGCATTGCCCGTTTGTTCTTCCTCATCTTCAGACCATCCCCGCACAAGACACTTCAACCACGACCACTGAGAGAAACCAGATCGCGCATCGTCGAGGCTTGCTTGGCAGCACCCGTCTAGCAGCGCCGCCGCTGAGGAGGCTCGCCGCGCCCGCTCACCAAGATGAGCAGCGACTACTCGTACGACGAGGAGGGCCACCTCTGGCCCTTCTTTGTCTTCACGCTCACCACAATCGTGACGCTGCCCCTCACATACATGCTCGTCAGCCGCACGCGGGACCCGGCAGCTTCCTTCCCCCGCATCAAGACCGACTACTCGCCCAAGGAGGGCGCCATCGTCAAGACGGTCAGGTCGGCCGAGAAGCGCCGCCACCGCAGGCTCGGCCTGGCCTTCTTCGTCATTGCCGGCTGGGCTGTCATGGGCTACATGCTCTACCTCATCAGTATCACCGAGGCGCCCAACCACAAGATCTGGAACCCCTACGACATCCTGGGTCTCTCCGAGGTACGCGCCTCCCCACACTGCTTTAATTGGCCATGCCCTGTAATGCCGTTCTGACCCTCTTGCCCCGCAGACCGCCTCCGAGAAAGTCATTAAGAAGACGTACAGGGACCTTTCGCGCAAGCTCCACCCCGACAAGGTCCAGCCCGACCCGGCAAAGAATGAGACGATCGAGTCGTTGAACGACAAGTACGTTGAGATCTCCAAGGCCTACCAGGCGCTCACGGACGAGGATGTAAGGAACAACTACATCCAGTTCGGCCACCCCGACGGCAAGCAGGGCTTCAGCATCAACATTGCTCTCCCCAAGGCCATTGTGTCGGACGGCAACGGAAAGTATGTCCTCCTCGTCTACTCGCTCCTCTTCGGCATCATGCTCCCCTACCTGGTCGGTTCCTGGTGGTATGGAACCCAAAAGCAATCCAAGGAGGGTCCCCTCATGGAGAGCGCCAACCGGTTGTTCATTGAGTACGAGGATGATATAGACGAGGGCGGCGTCGTATCTGCCTTGAGCACTGGTAAGGAGTTTGAAGGGCTCTTCAAGGGCAACAATGCAGACTCTGGTCTGGCCAAAATTGAGTCCAGAATCACTGCGCCCGGCGAGACGTCACCTTTTGCTGCTAGCATGTCTCTGAAGGAGAAGGAGAAGCTGGAGGATCTCGAGAATGGCGTGAGGCGCAAGGTGCTGGCTCTCCTGTGGGCCTACCTGGGTCGCATCGAGCTCGACGACCAGAAGCTCACCAAGGCCAAGCTCGAGGTTGGCCCAATCGCACACTCCCTGACCAAGTCTTTCACCGCTATCGCCCTCGCATATGGCAACACGGCACCGATATTGTCGTCTTATTACGCCAGCCAGATCCTCATCCAGGCCATCCCTCCCAAATCGTCCCCGCTCCTGCAGCTGCCCAACTTCAGCCCCACCATTGTCAAGGCCATTGAGGGTGACTCCAAGGTCCGCGCCAGCGTCCAGAGGTTCATGGACCAGCCCGACGTCAAGCGCCGCAGCCTTGCTGTCGGCCAGGGGCTCCTGACCGAGGCCGAGTACCAGACCGCAGTCGACGTCGCCAAGCAGCTTCCCTACTTCCGTGTCGCCAAGGCCTTCTTCAAGGTTACCGGCGAGAGGTTTATCATCCCGTCCTCGCTCGTTACCCTGGTTGTCAAGGGCCGCTTCGTGCCGCCCGGAAGCGAAAACGTGCCGCCTATCAAGGACTTTGACCTGGAGGATGTTGACCCGGCCGAGGACGATCTGGACGCCATCCTGGGGCGCAAGAAGAGGCAAGTCGGCAAGGACGAGAAGGGCAAGCCCGTTTTCGAGCTTGTTGATGACAAGCCCATTGTGCCTCCCCTGGTTTTTGCGCCCTACTTTGCCCGCGACTACTCCCCGCGCTGGCACGTCTTCCTCACGGACTCGAAGCAGGGCAAGATGGCCGTGCCGCCATTCACCTTTGCCCAGTTTGATCGCCCCATCTTCAAGGAGGACGGCAAGACGCCGACGTATGAGATGCAGACCCTCAAGGCTCAGTTCCAGGCACCGCCTCAGACCGGTCACTACACGTTCGTCATGCACGTCGTCTGCGACAGCTATGTCGGCTTCGACACCAAGATGGAGGTCACACTGGTAGTCGAGGAGGCCAGCAGGGCCGAGGAGATGTCTGACGACGACGATATCAGCGAGCCAGAGGAGGGTAAGTTTATCTCTTCTTGCCATTATCCCATCGTTACCCTTTCACCAGTGCTAACATCGACCCTAGATTCCATCGCTGGCATCATGAACGCGGCCAAGGGCGGTGCCCCTCCTCCGCGCAGGAGGAAAAAGGACGACTCCGATGACTCGGACGAGAGCGGCACGGAGGAAGAAGCCGAAGATACCAGCGACACCGACACTGATACTGAAGACGAGTCGTGAGCTCTGGACTGTGTGCGATTAAAAGAGGGTTATGAAACGGGTAATCACCAGAGAACGGTTAAATACCAAAGCGAACTGCATATCTTGCCTTTGAATGGGACCGGGCCTGTTTTAAGCGGCTGTTCTGTTTAATTCACCTCCTTTGTTTGAAAGTGGCCGCTGTCAGGTCTCCCCGACTTACGCTTCATCATTTTCGTCAAATCAGACTAGATTCTGCCCCTCCCAACAACCCGATTATCCAATTCCCTTCCTGTAAATACCGTCTGTTTTTATTATTTTCTTTCGTGGGCGTCGCGGCATTCATCACCCCCAAGACATGGGCCATACACGGCGTTTGTTCATCTCGCTTTTATATATTCTAAACCGGACGGTGCTTCCATGTTTGGTGTTGAGCCTGGATTTCGGTCTTAGCGTGCTGACCGTACTGCTGGCACCACCTGTTTTCTAGATGGTCTCATGGGTGTCGACTTATGAGAAGCAACACTTGGCGCTGAAGGTCTCGCAGCCAACTGTTCCCATTCTTGGTACCGTGGAGCTTGCCCATAGAAACTGATTTGAATGGTATTCAACCTAGGAGCCTTGAAATATAGGTCCTACCACAGCCGTAACGCCAACGCTAACTACAATCTATATTTTTTCATCGCTTCTTTGTTTTTACTGCGTTGCCATATCCTGTCTACTGGTAGCCGGAGACTAGCGGCGGAACTCGTTCGGCCCTATATTGAGGAAGAGCATCCTCAGGAGCGCCGGATGTTGGCAGTTACAATACTCTACCAAAGCTGCAACATGGGTGAATATCCCCTGACTGAGGACGCGTTACTGGAGAAGCTCTTCACAAGTCCAGTCCTCGTAGCTATTGCAACCAGTCAGCGTACTTTTTCAAGGACGCGCGCCATCCTCACCAAGACGTCCAAGGATAACCTACAATCCATCGGGCATGTACCGTCGGATGATGAGCGGGATCTTCTTCTCGGCGAGCTCCTTGATCGCGATCTGGAGTGGGTCTGTCTCGCCCTCGAGGTCGACGAGCACGGGGGCGTTCATGCTGATCTGCAGGGCCCTGGTGCCGAGGATGCGGGCCTTCTCGTACTTTGTCATGAAGGGCGTCGTGGTGCGCTTGTCGTTGGGGATCTTCTTGTCCTTGTGCGACTTGAGCGTGTTGCCGCCGCCGCGCTTGGCCGCGCCGTTGGGATCGCCCGACACGACGACGTTGGGGTCGTCGCCGCCGATGTCTTCGTCGTCCGACACGGGCACCTCGGGGTCGAAGTCGCCCGCGCCGTCCTCCTCGTACAGGAGCCCGTCGTCGTTGAAGTCCTGGCTGTTGGAGGGGTCAGTTCTGGACTGCTCATTGCAGTGTGTTCTTCTTCTTCTTCCTGTCTGCGACTATATTCCATCCTCTTCTCGTTTTCCCATCTGATTTTCTCCCTTTCCGCCCATGTGCCGCCGCTGCCTGGAAACCGTCGTGCTCCCTGGCCGACGCGCGCGCGCGCGCGCCGCGTCAAAGGGGGTTTGACTCACCCACCACCACCATCGTCGTCACCGCCGTAGTCGGACATGTTTGCAGATCGGGAGAGTCGAAGATGGGATGTGTTGTGCCAGCCGCCGGATGCGACACCGGATTTGAGATGTCGAGATCGAAAGCGCAACAGGGAGGCGTGACGGGTTGCGCAGTGATGGGGAAGCGGCTATGTTTGGTGCGACAAAGCGACCGAAGCCTCGAGAAAAAATTCCAAGAGCCAACCGCGACTCAGACGGATGATATAAGCACGCCCCCCTCTGGAGCAAGCTCCAACCCCCCTGGGCCCAAAAGACAGGGACCAGCTGATGCACAGACCCGGCTGGGCGTGCCAAGAGTTCGCGCACTGATAAGTTGATAAGAATTTTTCCTCCCCACAATCAAGAAATGTTGCTTTCAATTGCGGGTGACGGGAAGCTCCAAAAGCCAGCAAGCTTCGACAGGCCGAGCATGGACTCGAGGGCTCCGTGAACTGCCATGAAGCGAAGGAACGAGGAGGAGCACCCTAGCAGCCGGCCGAAGCGCCGATTGACTGTGGCTAAGCATGTCAATGGTAAGCCAGGCCCTCAGCTCGACAGACATCGACGACGGTTGTATGTGTGGATCAGGCGACTAATGCTGGGCGGTACAGCAGCAGAGTACGATGGCAATGAATCAGACTCACACGACGACGGGGACGTCCAGTCCTCAGCGGCATCCTACGTAGACTCGGGCTCAGAGTCCGACGGCGAGGTGGACGACGATGACCAGTCAACCCCTGCCACCACCATCACCAGAGCCGGCGACACCAAGTCGGGCCCGCCGTCGACGTCTACGGCAGTGTCCCGCAAGGTGTTTCCGTCCATGCTCAAGACCATCAAGTGCACACACCCCGGCTGTCCCAAGACCTTCAACCGGCCCGCCCGCCTCGCCGCCCACCTGCGCTCGCACATGGGCGACCGGGCGCTCAAGTGCCCCCACGAGGGCTGCGACAAGGCCTACTTCAACGAGAAGCACCTGAAGCAGCACATCAAGGGCTCCCACACGGGCGAGCGGCAGTACGCCTGCCCCGAGCCCGGCTGCGACAAGACCTTCCTGACGGGCACCCGCCTCCGTCGCCACGCCGTCGTGCACTCGGGACAGGGCCGCTTCCCCTGCACTGGCCACGGCCCCTGCGACAAGGTCTTCCGCAAGCACCAGACCCTGCAGCGCCACGTCCGCGCCGACCACCTGGGCCAGCCCGCCTTTGCCTGCTCGCACGACAACTGCGGCGCCGGCTTCGACACGGCCAACACGCTGCGCAAGCACGTCCAGCGCGAGCACGGCGAGCTCCGCTTCTGGTGCGACGAATGCGGCAAGGAGGACGGCGAGGGCGGCCGCCGCACCGGCTTCACCACCATGCACCTGCTCATGGTGCACATGCGCCGCTGCCACGTCGACTGCCTCTTCTGCGACGCCCGCTGCGGCTCCCAGTGGGAGCTCGAGCGCCACATCGAGATGCACCACTCGGGCTCCTCGGCCGCCGACCGCAAGGTCGTCGCGTGCACCTGGGACGGCTGCGACAAGAAGTTTACGCGCCGCGCCAACCTGAACGTCCACGTACGCATGGTCCACGAGGGCTACCGCTTCGTCTGCGGCGATGTGGCTTTCCCGGACTCTCCCGAGCTCGTCGCTGCCGGCTGGGGCGGGGAAGGCGACGGCGACGACGACGGTGACGGCAATACCCGGGGCAACGGCGCCGCGTGTGGTAGCGGCTTTCACACCAAGCGCAGGCTTGAGGACCACATCCGCGTCGCCCATCTCAACCTCCCACGCCTCGCCAAGACTCTGCACGAGAATGAGAACGACGGTGACGCTGGCCTCAAGCCCGCCGGCCTCTTTAGCATGTACGCATCTACCGCGACCGCCGGGTGGGACGAGGACGATGACGGGCTGCTGTTTGCGGCTGCGTCTCAGCAGATCACACCTCATCCCACTGCGGTGTCGCTAGAGCAGCAGGTTGCGGCGAGCACCGACCTCTTCTGCAGCCAGTCCGACTGCTTCCAGGCGTTTAACACAATCGAGGAGCGTGATGAGCACGTAAAGCAGCTCCACTCATCTAGGGATGGATATGCAGGGCATGCGGTTCCTATCCTGCCTGCGGCTTGGGAGGAAAATCCCCCAGTCGAGGTTCGGTTTCTGCCGCCGGCTGAGAATGCATCTCCCTATCTGCCAGCCGCCCTATCTGATTTCAACAGTACCAAAGACCACGCGTATCTTCAGACAGCCGTCGAGGGCCAAAATCTCCTGAATCCTGGCATGCCTGACGGAGAGTCCACCTACGACATAACCTACCGGCCTATCAGCAGGGCTGATGATCTAAGTGCTCTTGTTGACCCAAGACTTTTGACCTGAAGACCCTGTCCGCACGGATTTGTAACCTCTTTCCGGGGCCTCATCCTTTTTACCTACTCACACTTGCACCCACGTGTACGATACTCATGACTTTATGCGTTTTTCTTTTGCTATGACTGCTCAACAAGCAGGTTATAAAAATGGTGGATGGGGAAATAACATACAATGTATAACGGACTCACGACCATGATGACGGAGTGGGTAGGATGGGCAAAAAATGCACTATGGTTTGGGCAGGAATGGAAAATAGATAGACGTCAGCGCACGGGTAAGATGGACGCAATGATCAAGCATGACGGGCTACGATCCCACGAATATCGGCGAATCGACTGAGCCTAAAGCCATCAACCTCGAATTCAGGCCACTTACAAGGCATTGCTGTGGGCCTGCCCCACAACAAACATGCAAACGGCCCTCCAGGTCGTGCCTGCCCTGCCTGCCCGTTGTGCCTGGCTACCACACAACCGAGCGGGCAAACCTTTTTCTCTTTTAAATCGGGTGTTGGTGTCCTCTTGTCTTATTTTTTTTTCTCTTCTTCCTCTTCTTTCAGGATTGTCGGGTGCCAACTGAATCAAGTGAGCGAAGGCACCTTTAAATATCCATATCTATACCTGCATCCTTATTCATCCTTACGATTTACAAGGGAATCGTCCCCACCACAGCCCTTGAGCTAGTCCGATGTCAAATCCCGGCGGGCGAGGCTCCGGCCAAGGCGGCCGTGGGCAGCGCGGGTCTCGCGGAGGTGCCCGTGGGGGACGGGGCGACTTTGGTGGGGAGCGGGGAGGTGCCAGAGGAGGTCGGGGAGGCGCTTCCTATGGACCGCCTCAAGGCGGGCGAGGCGGAGGCGGAGGTGGAGGCCGCGGTGGAGGCCGTGGGGGTTTCGCGCCGGGACCATCCCAATCCACCATCTACCAGTACGTGAACCGAATACTCATCACGCCTGCATCGGACGCGCGCTAATTCTGTGTCTTCAGCTCCCAAGATGGAAGCATCCCCGCTCCAAGCAGCGCCGTCACGCGCGTCGAGAACGCGCTTGGTTCCGCCAAGGTGAATCTCAGCCGCCTTAATCTGAACACCTCGATGCCTGTGAGGCCCGGGTTCGGCACGAGGGGCGCCGCTGTCACACTTTGGGCCAACTACGTCGAGCTCATCGCGGCACCCGACCTGACCCTTTACCGATACGACATATCGGTCTCACCAAAGGCCACCGGCAGGAAGCTGGCCCAAGTCGTCCGGCTGCTGCTCGAGGCGCCCGAGCTGGCTCCCTTGCGACAGGACATAGTGTCGGATTTCAAGTCGACTTGCGTCTCGCGGAAAAAGCTTCCCCAGGATGACCTGACAGTCTCGATCATTTATCGTTCTGAGGGCGAGGACGAGCCGCGCGAGGGCGCGAACAAGTACGACGTCCGCATCTTGTACACGAACACGCTAAGCATCGGCTCCCTGACCGAGTACTTGACGTCAACGGACTTTGCGGCAAGCTACGATAACAAGCTGCCGCTGATCCAGGCCTTCAATATTTTCCTGAATCACCATGCCAAGTCGTCGGACGACCACGCCACCCTCGGCTCTTCCAAAGCCTTCTCGCTGCTGCCCGACGCCCCCAAGTGGAACCTTGGCGGCGGGCTGACGGCGATACGGGGATTCTTCGCGAGCGTTCGCACGGCGACCTGCCGGATCCTCGTCAACGTCAACGTCAGCAATGCCGCCTTTTACCTCGACGGCCCCCTGGACCAGCTGATAGGCGCCTATGACCCCCAGTGGCGCAATCGCAAGACCAAGCTGGCGACGTTCCTGAAGAGGGTCCGGGTGAGGACCACGCACCTGCCAAAGAAGACGAACAAGGCCGGCCAGGTCATCCATCGGATCAAGACCGTGTGGGGGCTTGCCACGCCGAACGACGGCTACAGCCTCGCTCACCCGCCTAGAGTGCGGGAGTTTGGTGCTGGACCAAAGCAGGTTGAGTTTTGGATGGATTCGAGCCCTCCGTCAAAGCCGGGCGCGGCGGCCAAAGCCAGTGGTGGGCCGGCGAAGAAGAAAGGCGGCAAAGGAGCAGGCCCCGGCGCGGCGGCCGCGTCGGCGGCGGGAGGACGGTACATCAGCGTCTACGATTTCTTCTTGAACAGTGAGCATTCCTTAGAGCCTTGCCCTTCGCATCCCCGTACATGCCTTGCTCACACTACACAGCGTATGGCATGGTTCTTCAAAAGTCGGATCTCCCCGTCGTCAATGTCGGGACGCGGGAGAACCCGACGTACCTCCCACCCGAGGTCTGCATCGTCATTCCGGGCCAGTGCGCCAATTCCAAACTGGACCCCACCCAGACCCAGCAGATGATTCGATTTGCCGTCCGCAAGCCGGGAGACAATGCCAACTCGATTGTCTACGAGGGGCTGAGTACCATCGGTCTTTCAAACAACACTAACAGTCTGTTGGTACGTATTATATCCCCCGGCGTATCCCAAGCCCCAGCGAGAGGGGATCTGCTAATCTACTGTATAGAGCCAATTCGGCGTCTCCATCAACCCCGGCCTGATCACCGTTCCAGGACGTGTGCTCGACGAACCCAAGGTCTACTACAAGGACAAAAAAGTCGCCCAAGTCCGGTTCGGCGGCTGGAACATGGTCGACGTGAGATTCAACACGAACGGAAGGCTGAGTTCGTGGTCATATCTCTTGGTCTCGTTGCCCACGCACCGAGACGCGTTCGACCAGGCCAGTTTGTCGTCGACCATGCAGCAATTCACAGCTTTGCTGGTCAAGAGAGGCATCAGTGCGGCCGCTCCTATGCAGGGCCAGAGACTCGAGCTCAGCAGCCCCGAGGATCCCCGTCTAGACCAGCGCCTGGAGATGGCGGCCAAGAGACTCGAACTCCTCCTGGTCATCATGCCCGAGGCCATCACGCCTTTGTACAGTCGCATCAAACACGCGGGCGATGTCAGGTACGGCATCCACACCGTCTGCACCGTCGGCCACAAGCTCGCAAAGTGCAACGAGCAGTACTTCGCCAACGTGGCCCTCAAGATCAACCTCAAGCTCGGGGGTGTCAACCAGCTCCTCGATCAGCCCCGCCGCGGCATCATTGACGAGGACAAGACCATGGTCGTGGGGATCGACGTCACGCACCCCTCGCCCGGCTCGGCCTCCAACGCGCCCAGCGTCGCCGGCATGGTGGCCAGCATCGACCGCTGGCTCGGCCAGTGGCCAGGCGTGCTGAGCATCCAGGCCAAGGCCCGCACGGAGATGGTGTCGAGCCTGAGCGAGATGCTCAAATCACGCCTCCGCCTGTGGAAGGACCCAAAGTACGGCAAGCACGCCGCCCTGCCCGAGAACATCCTCGTCTACCGCGACGGTGTCTCTGAGGGCCAGTACCAGATCGTGCTGGACGAGGAGGTGCCGCTCCTCCGGAAGGCCTGCCAAGAAGTGTACCCACCGGCAGACCAGAAGAAGGGCCTCCCACGCCTGACCGTCATCGTGGTTGGCAAGCGCCACCACACGCGCTTCTACGCCACCCGCGAGGGCGAAGCGGATAAGTCGTCCAACCCCAAGGCCGGCACCGTCGTGGACCGCGGCGTGACCGAGGCGCGGAGCTGGGACTTCTTTTTGCAGGCGCACACGGCGCTGCAGGGCACGGCTCGCCCGGCGCATTACTTTGTGATCCTGGACGAGATCTTCCGCACCCGCTACGCAAAAAGCGTGCCGCCGCCGTACAACAACATCTCGGACGTGGTCGAGGCGCTGACGCAGAGCCTGTGCTACACGTACGGCCGCGCCACAAAGGCCGTCAGCATCTGCACGCCCGCATACTACGCCGACCTGGCGTGCGAGCGCGCGCGCCAGTACCTGAGCGGCGTCTTTGACACACCCACCCAGTCCGCCGCGGGGAGCATTACGGCCGAGCCGGCGCTGGTGGCGAGCGACGACGTCTTGTTGCACGCCAGGCTGAGGGACACCATGTTTTACATCTGATTTGGGTGTTGGGGAGGGCGGGAGCGTTGGATATGGCGGACTTTGACATGGGCGGTTGGGGATGAGGGGAGCCCCTGTGCAATCTATGGCGCCAGCGCAAAAGGCACTAGTAATTCTCTGAGCGATCTGGATTCGAAGCGGAAAAATGACCTTTTTATGGAAACCCACGTGTTGTTGCTGGATACAGAGCCTTCCGAGTGACGCCGTTCTGTGCAGTTGGGATTCAAGAGACCCATCGGGAAATGGTACGTAATGCTACGACTAGATGAAGAAAAAAAAAGCCGGAAATATGCACCTGGAAACCATGCCTACCCAGATAAATATACCCAACAAGACGTAAAAAAAAGAAAGAAAAAAAGAGAAGTCTACTCGTCGTCGACAAGAGCGCTGCTCAGGCCCAGCATGATCATGCCCAGGAACGCAAACGCGATGCTCAGGTTCCTATTGTGGTTCAGGCTCAGGCTCTCGACAAAGAGCTGCAGCGCGACGCTGGCCATGATGCCGGCCGTGACGGCGAAGAGGGCGGCGTAGGCGACGTTGTCTATCTGAAAGCGCGAGCGGCGCGCGGCCCTGAACCAGAGCCAGGCCATGGCGGCGCCCGCGGGCTGGCTGAGCCCGCCCAGGACGGACGAGAGGGCCAGGGCGCGGGCGCGGCTGCCCAGGGCCATGTAGAGCGGCAGGGCCATGGAGAAGCCCTCGGCGATGTTGTGGACGAAGAGGGCCATGAAGACGTTGAAGCCCAGGGCCGGGTTGGCCATGTTTGTGGCGTACGTGATGAAGCCCTCGGGGAACTTGTGCAGCGCGATGGCGATGACGGTCTGCAGGCCGATGGCCATGAAGGCGTTGGTGGGCACGTGGTGGTGGTGCTGCGCCTCGATGTCGTCGTCGTCGTCGCCGTTGCTCGAGCACAAGGACGTGGATGCCTGGGAGTCGTGGGGGTCGTGGTGGTCCTCATGGCCGTGGTCGTGGTGGCGGCCGTGGTCGTCATGGGCGTCGTGGGCGTCCCCGTGGCTGTGGTCGTGGTCGTCGCCGCGGTGCGGCGCCCCGCGCGACCGGGTTTTGTTCAGCCGACACCGCGAGGATGTGGCCTCTGCGCCGCGGCCCTCCTCGGGAACGGTCTCGACGGGACGCGCGCTCGAGAACCACGTCGTGGTGCGCAGGGCCGTGGGCAGGCGCGACAGGGCGGAGCGGGAGCTCAGGTGCTTGAAGCACTCCTGGCCGCACGGGTCCGTGTAGCCGTAGCAGGGGCCGGTCTCGTCGCAGTTGGCTTTTGTGTCCTTGACAAAGGATACGAGGCGGTCTCGGACTTGTATTATGGACGGTCTCCTGGCGAGGGAGAAGGCCAGATCGTCGGCCAGATCGCCGCTCCCGGGCGCGTCCTTGGGCGAGGCGACCGTGTTGGCCGTCCGCTCCGAGGGTAGCAGGGGTGTCGACTCGGTGGCGGCGGCGTTCTGGCCCACCAGAGTTGTCACCATGAGGGGTCCGGGGGAGCTGCACTTGGACGACTGCCGGCGCGTCGGTCTCGACCGACGCCCGCTGGGGTCGTGTATGTGGTCATGGGCATGGCCGTGGTCGTGCCCCGAGTGGGCGTCGTGGGCGTGTTCTTCGTGGGTGTGGTCGCAGTCGACAACGTGCGAGGGCATGAGGCGGTGGAGAAGCCTGGAGATGAACTGGATGCCGATGAAGCCGCCGACAAAGCAGCCCATCATGAGGAACCCGGCCTCTTGATCGCGCCACCCGGCCTTGAGCAGGTATCGCTTGGATGCGGGGAGCATGTTGTACAGGGCGGAGAATATCTGCAGCGGGGGAACAATGCGTGTAAGCCAAGAGCGAACCGACCAGCGGGAGGGTCCAATGGCAAGACTTACCATAACGCCGAAGCTCAAGCTCAGGGAGCACGCGAGGAAGACATTGCTCTCCTGTATCCTGAAGCGCTTCTGGCCCGGAAATAGGCGCACTAGCGAGTCCACGCATATGATCGAGGCACCGGCAACGCACGCTTTGTGGGTTCGTTCGATGCAGCAGTCCTTGTCAGCCTTTCTCGCATCTGTCAAGGACGGCAAGCCCCGCGCGTAGATGCACGACGGATTCCACATACCTATGCCGCTCACGGCGCACATGACCCACCCGCGGGTGTTATTTGCGTCGTCGGATTGTGACATGGTCGCAGCGGCCTGTGTATGGTCTGCGCGCGCGCGCTCGTGCTACGGCAGCCAGCCAGGCACCGGGGGCCTTTGCGCCGCACAGCAGACGCTTGTCGGGTCGGGTACCGGAATATCGGGTGCGGCTTTGCTCGGGGAGTTTTTGCAAGTTCGTCGGTTCGCGGCGTGAGAAGGACGGGCGGGTTGGTAGGAAGCGCAGGAGGGCCGGAAGCTTGGACAAGACGACGAGGAGACGAGACACGGCAGCCTTGGCTTCCTCTTCCTCTTGCCGCCACGAACGAATGGGGCAACCTCAGGGCCTGGCCTGGGTCACGGAAAGCGATGGACAGGAGCAGCGGTTAAATACTCGCGGGCAGCAGGCAGTCGGGCAATTCGGGGCGGGCGAAGCACGGCGAGGGGCTGAGGCGCAGACACAGATGAGATCGACTGGGGCAAGCGATTGGGGCTGACACGGCGCGGGCAGCAGATGGAGGCAAGGAACGGAGTTGCGATGCGAGGGAGGCAATCGGGAGATCAAGTAGCTTCGCGGCCGGCGGCAGAGAGATCAAATAAAGGTGTATCAAGGTGGAACTGGGTTGCGCCGACTGCTTGCCGAAACAGGTTGAAACGCGGCTGGGGCGCTTTTTTTCTGTCGGTTATGGCGGGGTGCTGGAGGGCGGGCGGGTGTGTGTGGGTTTGCTAGGGGTGGCCGCTGAACAAGCAATGAATCAATCAAGTGAGGCCCGCGATGAAGGCCATGAACTATCACAATGATGCAAACGGGCACTGCCGTAGGTTAGCACACAGCACACGGAAGGGGTTTAGGTTTATATAACAGCACGAGCACTCCTTCCGGCGGCCGCATAACATGCCATTGACAACATCGTCTGAATTGCTGCCGCAGCCCGCACCAGACCGCCCTATCGACGGACATCGCGCACCCTGTTGGCCAGGCGGGTGCTGTGTTCTGTAAGGCCTGCGAGAGCGCCGCTGACTTGTGCAAATGCATCGCGCCCGAGGGCCCGCCTTGGCCTTGCCATCCGGGTTCTCAGCATTGCTCAGCTTTGGCCTTTTCAGCCAATTGTCAGCAGCGCGACCAACCTTGACCACAAAAAAAAACTGGACCCCCAACCCCGCCGCCTGATCTTGCCCTGCGTCCAGTGCCGTGCCGAAACGGAAAAATCTCAAGACATGGCCCAGTCAAGAGGCGATCACTAGCCGCCTTTTCCCTGGCATCGACACCACCACGGGGCCTCACAGCCCGCCTCGGTCAGCCCTCCCAGCTCGAGCCTCGTGCATGTCAGCTCCCTGGTGACCCGTAGTCCTCGCAAGGCACGCCGTAGATAGCACCCGGCTTATTTAAACCATCATCCCCCATCGCCTCGCGTCGGGCTCGCAGCGCCCCTCCCACGGCCACCATGTCTAAAGCCACCCTCGCAATCGTTGCTGCCATCAGTGCCGGCACAGGAGCCGCCGCCACTGCAGCCATGTACTCTCTCCGCTCGCCGCGGGGCGCCGAGACCAAGGCGCCCACGGCCAGCAGCACCAGCAGCCAACCTATTCCCAGTCCACCCCCACCAGCCGCCATCCCAAAGTTCGGCCACCAGCAACAGCAACAGCAGCAGCCACTAGCCGCCACCACGGGCGGGCTCGTCGACCCGGCGGGGCTCTTCCAGTACGGGTTCCCGGGCCCCGTGGCGGACCTGGCGGCGCGACAGGCGCTCGTGTCGTCGTACGACCGGCGGCTGCGCAACCCGCACTGGGTGGCCGAGCACATGACGGCGGCGTCGCTGGCCCAGCGCAGCGGCGACCGCAAGAACTCGGCCTTCGTCGAGGACCCGGCGGTGCCCGAGCAGTTCCGGGCGCGGCTCAAGGACTACTTCCGCTCCGGCTTCGACCGCGGCCACCAGGTGCCGGCGGCCGACTGCAAGTGGTCCCAGGCCGCCATGGACGAGACCTTTTACCTGTCAAACATGTGCCCCCAGGTTGGCGAGGGCTTCAACCGCGACTACTGGTCCCACCTCGAGGACTTTTGCCGCCGCCTCACGGCCCGCTACCCCTCGGTCCGCGTCGTCACGGGCCCGCTGTACCTGCCCAAGCGCGACGAGGCCGACGGCAAGTGGTACGTCAAGTACGAGATGATCGGCAGCCCGCCAAACGTGGCTGTACCCACGCACTTTTACAAGGTCATCTTTGCCGAGGACGGCAAGGGGCCCGGCGGCAACGTGGCCCTGGGCGCCTTTGTGCTGCCAAACGCCCCAATCCCAAACGACAAGCCGCTCGTCGACTTTGAGGTGCCGCTCGAGGCCGTCGAGCGCGTGTCGGGCCTCGAGTTCGCGTCCAAGCTGCCCGCCGGCCGCCGCAGACGCCTCTGCGCCGACGCGCCCTGCTCCATCCTCGTCAAGGACTACTCGGACCGTCAGAGGGCGTTTGCCAAGGGCGGGCAGCCCAAGCTAGCGTCGCCCAAGGCCTGAGCTTCTTTCTATTGCTATTTCGCATTCTTTTTTGTTTCTTGACTTGTGTCACCAAGGTTTTGTCCGCGCACGCATTTTCATCTCGGCCAAGAGGGGCGCATATGATGGCATCTGGGGGGCGTCTTGCATACTTTTTATTTCTGGTGACAATTTTCACCTTTTCGCTTCCAATTGCTTCTTCTCTCAATGTCAGCATCCTTTCTTTTCCTTCCATTTCTTTGACCGACGCACACTTGCTGCGGAGAGCGTTACATATGCGCACCTACATCAGACATCAGACGGGGCGGAGGAGATGGCTTTCCAGAAGGCGTTCATTTGTGCTTTTTGAAGCTCGTGAAGCCCGCTTCTAGATAGACGCAAATTTTAAATCTCAAGATGGCAGATGACGCTAGCAAAGTGAAATGCGCCATGTACGTCAGCGACGGTTCATGGCAGCACGTGGGCCTGCCCATGAGCGTCTTGTGCCTGCGCCGCTGTCACGGTGGCCGAGGCTACTAGAGTCATCTCGGCTCACATGAGCGCGGGAGAGGCGGGCATGTCTTGGGAGACCGAGGGTGCATAAGTCGATGGTCAGGTGACACCACCATCACCGGGAGTCCTTTGGGAGCTAGGAGAGTGCCTAACCCGCTGGAACCGTCGGGGAATTACCATTCGTTGACCTATCCTGTTGCGCCGAGGAAGGCTAATCGGGGCAAGTAGCGAGTGGCGCTTATCTAACCGTGGGAGAGAATTGTCCATCGTCCTGAAGAATGATGCCGTTTGGCCCTCGAGCATCATGGCTTTTTCGACCAGACAGTAACAAAAAGAAAAGTAAAGAAAAAGAAATCCTCGTTATGATACAAAGACCCGAGAACCTGTGTTTTTTTTTTATCTTGTCCTTCCCGTAGATGGAAAGAGCAAAAAAAAACAGAGGCTTCACTCTGGAATTGCTTCAAAAAAAGCCAAAAGTAACCCACTCTCCACGTCAAACTAGCTTCCATGTTGTCCTCAGCGAACACGACTACAGCCCCCTCTGCTACCGGGCGCGCGTGTAGTGGCCCCTGTTCTGCTCCATGCGCAGGCTCTCCTCCTGCGATGGCAGCGGCGCGCGCCTGCGACCCGCGTCGTCCTGGTCCTGCGCGGCGGCGGCGGCGGCGGCAGCGGCACCACCCAAGCCCGGGAAGCCCGGGATAGGCGGCACGAGCGGCGCTCCCGGCCCGGCGGCGGCGGCGACTGCTCCTCCGGGGAAGCCCAGGCCGGGCGGGAGCAGGGGCGG